CATCCCCACTAGATCAACACCTCTTCCTCTATGGAACTCCTAGGCCCCAGACTCATCTTCAACACAGTTACAACCACCTGAAATCATGTCTCTGGTTAGTGTCTGTCTCCCCCAACTTACTGAGCTCCAGGACAGCAGAGACCATTGCTCTTTTATTCCCTCCCTGTATCCCCAGGACCTGAAAAAGGAAAAGATGATGAGGAAATATTTTTTGAATGAATGAATGAGGTTTCGCCCAGGCCCTTGATGTGGGAGAGAGAATGCCAGGCAGAGGGAATCTCCTGGGCAAAGACCTGGAGCTAGGAGGAGAGGTCCTGGCCACTTGCTTGTGGTTGGAGGCAAGGGCAGGGGCACGGCAGTGGGCAGGTGCCTGGGAGGTATGGGGGAGATGGAACCTTACCTGAAGCCTGGGGGCTGCTGGGGACCCCAGCTTTGCAGGCATCTCCCGCAGTACCACCATTGTGACAGCATATGTGATGACGGTGACGGGGCTGGGCTGGAGGGAAGTGCTTGAAGCCATCAAGGCCACCCGGCCCATCGCCAACCCCAACCCAGGCTTCAGGCAGCAGCTGGAGGAGTTTGGCTGGGGAAACTCCCGGAAGGTAAGGGCTGGTAGGAGTCGCTTGGACTGGGGGGGTCTGGGACCCTTCTTTCCCCTTGAACCTGGGCAGGATTGGGAGGAATTCAGCCCAGGCTTCAGATCTGGCAGATTATCCTGGGGTCTTGAACTAATCCAGCTCCTAAGTTTAGTTTGTGTTAACAGCCAGGTAGGTTATGGGGTTCATTGGTTTGCTTTTAAACTTAGAGTCTGGCTGCCCCTAGACCAGTCTGTAGGCCCTTCAGTCTGGCCAGGTGCCCAAATGCCCTCAGGCCCCATCTATCTGCCTGCCACCTAAAGCTTTGAGGGTTTAACCTCTTGGGGGAAAACTGGCCTTGCCACACCCCAACGTTGGATCTTTCTGAGGTCAAAGCAATCCCCTTCCTTATCTCTCCCAGAATTTCAGGAATTGAGGTCACCCCGGGCACAAAGGGTGAGAGAGTAGGGAAGAAAGAGGAGAGAGCTGGAGACAGCCTGAAGGCTCCCAGCAGGGTGACAGAAGGGTCCCCAGAGGCTTATCTACAGGGCTGTGCTAGAAAGAAGCCCTGGTGAGCGCAGTTGCTGAGACCACCGATGTGGTCAGAGGCCAGAGGGAGGGGTTCATGCGCTCCCCGCTGTGTAGGTGGGGGTCACTTTAGCAAATCTGGAAAATGGAGGGAGTTGCAGAGGGAGAGGGACCCTCGGCGGCGCCCTGGAACTCCAAAAAGGGAGGCCAAGGGATGCTCGCGGGGGCGGGCGGGGTGGGCAGCGGGCCGAGGGCGGCGGACCTGGGGCGGGACAGACCCTGACTCCGCAGCGGCCACCCCAGCTTCGCCGGCAGCTGGAGGAGCGCTTCGGGGAGAGCCCGTTCCGCGACGAGGAGGACGTGCGCGCGCTGCTGCCGCTGTGCAAGCGCTGCCGCCAGGGCTCTGCCACCTCGGCCTCCTCGGCCGCCCCGACCGCGCCGCACTCAGCCTCGGAAGGGACCCTGCAGCGCCTGGTGCCGCGCACGACGCGGGACGCCCACCGGTCGCTGCCGCTGCTGGCGCGCGTCAAGCAGACTTTCTCTTGCCTCCCGCGGTGTCTGTCCCGCAAGGGCAGCAAGTGAGGACCCCGCCCCGAGCGGCTCCCCTCGGCCTCCCGCTCCGCCCCTTCGGGGGCTGTCTGGGCCCCCCACAGCCAGGACGGGCCCAGAGGCTGTGGGAGCCCTGCAGAGGCCCGATCCCTGCCCCCATGCCCACCTCGCTTGTCTGCGTCCGCGGTCAGTGTGTCCTCCCTCTGTGCGTCTGTGTCCGGGCCGGCCAGCTGCAGCCACCTGGTGCCTTAGTCCTTGGGCTGGGGGAGGGGCCCCGGCTCCACCCGTAGGGGCGGCGGGAGAGGGAAGTGGGTAGGGTAGGGGTGGACGGGGCTGGAGGGATATTAAAGAGACACGAAAGCTGCCTGACCCCGTGCCTGTCATTCAACAAAGGCCAGACCCTGGTGTCTGGGAAAACAGGGCCAGGTGTGCGGTGTGCAGCCGTCAGGGCGGAGGGGCCTAACCTCCTCAACTGCGGTCTGCAGAGCTGGATTCTGGGACCGAGAACTCCTTGACACAGCCCCTCATCTCTCCCAGAGCCCTGATCTCCCTCCTGAGAGGCTCCTAAGTGCTTCCTTCCATCTCTCGAAGCCCCCCACCTCTTCTCCATACAGGCACTGGCCAGTAAGGTCCAGTAGTGCCTCCCCAACACCTGACCTCTCACTGCTTAAGTTTACTTTATCCTAGGGGAAGATGTAAGCTTCAGAAAGGTCAGGCAGCTTGCTCAAGAACACACAGCTAGAACTGGGGAGCCTAAGTCTCATGACAGTTGGTAGGAAGTAGCTCCTGATTTGGCAGGTTTCTGGTGGGGAGAACCCACCTCCAGCTAGTGGGAATCATCCTTCCCAGCTAGAGTTTAAAAGCAAGAGCAAGCAGGGACTGACCCCAAGAATGAATAGAGGTCATCAGAGCTGAGGAGTTTGAAGTAGCAATAACCCAACAGCCACTGCTATGGGCTTCTAACTTTGTACCAAGCCCTGGGTGTAGGGGGCCTGAATGAAATGACCTTCCTGTCATCCCAACCTTCTATTTCTCCTTCATTTACCAAATGTTCATTGAGCACCTACTATATGTCAGGAACTGTGTTGGGCACTGGATTTACAGCAGTGGGTAAGACCTCTGCCCTCACCTTGCTGATGTTCTGGTAAGATACCAGGTAAGCAAAAGGAAACATACCAGGTGGTGGGGGAGTGGACCATTTTGCTACTGGGGAGTGTAGGGAGCCTGTGTCTTCTTGGATGGTTTATGGTACTACCGTCCAACTGGTTTAAAACATTCAGATGGTGTCTTTCCCTATTTAAAAACCTCCACAGGCCCCATCACCTGGAGGACAAAACAAAGCCCCCTGATCTGGTGTTCTGTGTCCTTCAACATGCTCCCTCCCCTTCTAGCACTCCTCCACCTCCTTGGACTCACAGCACACCACTCCTTTGTGTTTGTGCTCACTCAGGCTGTATGCTAAACTTTCTACCTGCATCTCAGGCTATTCAACAGATGAGGAAACTGAGGCTGGTGCCCAAGGCCATCAGGTAGAAGGTGGTGGGGAAGTCTGGCTGTAGACCCCACCCTCTAGACACCACCCTCTGCAACCTAGAAAAATGAAGGGGTGGCCCAATACACTGAGGACTCCTGCTTAGTTGTACAGCCTGCCTCAGACTCTGAAAATTTAACCAAACTTGGGCAAAAAGTGTCTGAAAAAAAATCGCATCTGTATTGAACATACACAAACTTTTAATTTTCTTGTCATCATTCCCTAAACAATACAGTTTAACAACTATTTACACAGCATTTACATGAGAGGTGATTTAAAGTCTAGGATATACGTAAGTTATATGCAAATACTACATTATTTTATATAGGAGACTTGAGCATCCATGGATTTCAGTATCCAAAGGGGTCCTGGAACCCATCCCCCACAAATACTGAGGGTGACTGTCATTATTCTTGTAGCTAATCATATGAAATAATTTGTGCTCTGCTCCACTGGAGTCTAAACCCAGACTGTGGCTACGGAAGTGCTGCTGGCACATGGAAGGGGACACAGGTGCACATGAGGGACAGTGCTTGGGTCTCTGGTCAGTGCTGGCTGGAGCCCCGCTCTCTGCCTGCTTCAGGAGAGGATGTTATTCTCTCCACCCTGTTTCACCAGGGGCTGGAGCAATCTGAACTTCTTAAAATCTTTCAGGTCAGGAATCCCCTTTTGACAACTGAACGAAAGAAACGTAAAATGCATAGATGTGACAAAATTTATGTACTATTTCACAGGATCACAGACCTCACCAGGAATCCATAAATCCCAAGTATAGCTGCCAGGAGGTAGGCTGCAGCACCATTTAGGTCTCTGGACTCTCCCCAGTCAGCTTTGAATGCTGACTCTCCCACCAAGCTCTGGGACTTTGTTACAGGGCTTCAAACTTTCTGAGCCTTGGTGGTCTTCATGTTAAAATAGGTAATGAGGCTGGGTTGAAGCTCAGTGGTAGACGGCTTGCCTAGCTTGTTTGAGACCCCAGGTTCAACCCCCAGCACCACAAAATAAGCAATTAGACTTGTCTCCTGTGCTCTCGTGAGAACCAATGTAGGCACCATAGGGAAGGGTTCAGGCGCAGCACCACAGTGAGCAGTGGGTAAATGGGGATTCTCAATATCTGAAGAAAGAACTGTGGTCTCTGGGCCACCTGCATCAGAATCCTTCCTTCAGATTCAGGTTCCTGGGCTTCTGGCCAGAAAGTCTGATTCCTCCAATGGGGTCGGGAGTGGGCACCAGAAATCGGTTACTGCCTCCCAGTAGGGACAGGAAACAGTTTGAGAAGCACTGGCCTTTCCAACCTAGCCAGTCCAGGTTCTGAAAAGAGACTGAAAGCCAGGGGAGGTGTGGTCCCGGCCACTGGGGAGGTTGATCCAGGAGAATCCCTTAAGCCCAGGAGTTCAGGGGCCAGCCTGGGCAATTTAGGGACACTCAAGGGGGGGGGGGGGGGGGGGGGGGGGGAGTGAGGGACGGGGGGGGGGGGGGGGGGCGGGGGAAGAGAGGGAGAGAGAGAAGGAGGGAGGAAGGGAGGGCGGGCAGAAGGAAGGAAAATCAGAGACCAACAAGGGTCCAGGGGGGCTAGGCAGAGCAGACCACGGGCGCAGGAGTGGGGCAGGGTTTGTTCCCTGGGTAGCAGTCGAGCACCTTCCTCCCAGACCCAGAGCCCAGGCCACCCACCGGAGCGCTCCTTGGGTCTTGGCAGTCCGGGGCGCCTCTCTCCAGCCACCACGTGAGGCCCATCGCCCTCGGGCCAATCTGTCGCGGGGAGGGGCAAAAGGAAAGCGAGAGGGGACGTAACAGAAAGCGAAACCCTCGCTCAGACTTTCACTTCCTTGGGCTCCGCGCGCCATCCAGGGGCGCGGTGATCCCTTAACCTGTGCGGGTCCCCTTCTATGCCTCGGGATCCAGCCCTCACTTCACTGAGCTCCAGATGGCCAACGGCCCCTGGCGGAAAGAGGAAGAGAGGGTCCCAATCAGCAATGGACCTGTGTTGAGAACTGGGGGTCCCCTGCGTCTCCGCGACTGGCTAGTGGCACAGATCGAGAGCGGACTCTACGCCGGGTTGCGCTGGGAAGACCCGGACAAGACCCTCTTCCGCATCCCCTGGAAGCACGCAGCCAAGCAGGGCTACCAGGCGCAGCAGGACGCAGCGCTCTTCAGGGTAAGGGTCAGGAGCCTACAGATCCCAGCCCGGGGGACGGCTCTTGCAGCACACGGTGGCAGCGGACCAACCCATGAGCTCTGTGACCTTGGGCCACTCGCTTGGCCTGGAGAACTAAGGGTAGTGTCCTCCATATGGGAGAACCTCAGACACCTCCTAAAACAGAATCAGTCAGGCTGGCGGTGGACCTACACCATCCCCATCTCCTCCCATCCCATCTCCCAATGAGATGCCTCTCATTCCAAACCCACCAGACCTTGGGCTGGGATGTAGCTCAGTGGCAAAGCGTCTGCCTTGCATTCCCAAAGCCCTGGGTTCGACCCCCAGTTCCAAAAAAGACAAAAAAAAAAGAACCCCACCAAAAAAAAATAAATAAATAAGATTTAAAACAAAAAAACCCAAACCCACCAGACCCTGCAGCTTGGGAGCCTTCTCCGTGCTCCCAATATTGGACCTTTTCAAGGCCCCTGCAGGAAGAACTCCTTCCGCTTGGCCATCCTTAACTTTCTCCAAGTTGACTCCTTTCCATGCACACTTAAACTCTGAAATCTCTCCCCAAGCAATAAGTAACCAACTGCACACCAGGCCATTGTCACCACTCCAAACACCCAGGTCACCTCCAGCTCCTCCTTCTTTAGCTTCACCTCTCCCTTCACACCAAGAAGCACATGCAATGTTCTCTTCATTTATCTCCTCCTTCCTAGTCCCCCCACCATGCCCCAGCACCCCCATCTGCTTTCTGTCCCTCCTGCTAATGTCTCTAGTTGCCAAATCCTGAGATACATCCCAGCCTTCACCTCCTTGACTTCTGTCACCTGGTGGACTCTCCCTTCTCCCAGAATCACTCTCACTTGTATTCCAGAATCTACCCCTCTTGTCCCGACCCCTGCTGCCATTTTCCTCCCACCTCCCAGGCCCCTGTTGCTCAGCCTCATATTTCCTCCCCTCCTCTGTGGGGGCTCCCAGCACTCCCTCTGGATCTCCCTCCTCAGCCTCAGCATGGAGGCTCCAGGCCTCCCCTCCGAGCCTCAAGCCTGCTGATCTTGCAGTCTCCCAGATGCTGTCTCCTGGGTGGCCCCCAGGCCCCTCAGATTCTGCCTATGACTGTACCACACTTGTCAGCTCACCCCCCACAAAATTCTGCCACCTGGGCACCTGAACCCTAGCTGCTCTGCAACTTCCAACCTCATAGTATCCAATTAGCGAGGCCTGCTGGCTCTTCCTGCAAAATATCTTAAACCCATTTCTACCCTCTCTCCCAGGACAACTGCAGTGACCTCCCTGAGCTCCCCCCCCCCCCCCCCGCCCCCCCCCCCCCCCCCCCCCCCCCCCCCCCCCCCCCCCCCCCCCCCGCCCTCAGCCATCCCCTCAGTCCTTTCTAAGTGCAAAGATGTCCTCCTCAGAATCCTTCCAAGGCTCCTATTGCCCCTCACCCTGGCCTCAAAACCCTGCAGAACTGCCCCTCCCGGGCCTCCTCTCTCGCCACTCCCTTCCCTCCCTAGCTTGGGTTCTTTCACTTTCTAAATACTTTGTGTGTTGCCTTAGGACTTTGTACATGCTGTTCCCTCTTCCCCCTTGCCTGGCCAGCTCCCGTCAGCCTCAGCTCAAACATCTCTTCCTCAAGAGAGTCTTCCCTGGTGCACTCATTAATTTAATGCATTTATTAAGCACCAACTCAGTGGTCTCCCAAGTCATCCCCATGGGAGCCAGTATGAGTTCCCCATGAGTTTTCCTGCCTGAGATGACTGTCTCCTTACAGCAGACTATGAGCTGCACAGTGCCTGGCATACAGTAAGTAGGTGCTCAATAAGTGTTGAACAGGTAGATGCATGGCTTATCCCTTAAGCTTTATTCACTGTAGTTCAAAAGAGGGGGATTCTGGGGGCTGGCCCTCCCTATCCCTCAACCCACCACTAATATACATATGTGACTCCGTGGCCCCAACAATATGTGACTTCTGGTGCCCTGTACCCATGGGATAAAGCTTGGCCTTCAAGGACATTCATAATCTCTCTTCAACCCGTGTCTTCTTCCTTAATTCCTCTCCCCTTTCCCCCAGCACATACAGTCAAATATGAATTCCATATTTGCAAATTCTCCTGCTTGCCAAAATGTATTTGTATTCCCCAAATCAATACTTGAGGCACTTTTGCAACCCTTCATAGATATGCACAGAATGACCAAAATGTCAGTTGCCCAGTGGGGACATCTGAAGCTGAGAGCACTGCCTTCTGTCTTCAGTTCCCACACGGTGAACATTGTCCCTTCCATAGTCTATGTAGTGCCATATGTTTAATATTTTGTGAGTGATGTTCCTATTTAGAATGACCCCCAAGCATAATGCTGAAGCGCTGTCTAGTGTTCCCTAGTGCAAAAGGCCACCATGTGCCTTAGAGAGAAAATTCATGTTAGATAAGCATTGTTCAAGCATGAGCGATAGTGCTCTTGGCCATGAGTTGAATGTTAATGAATCCAGTGTATACTAAAGAGTGTCCTTCAACAGAAACACATTAAACAATGTTATGGACTGGTCAGTTGAAGAAAATGCTGTGACCAGAGAATTGCAGAAACTTAGCCCTGTATTTCCCCATGTGTGTGCCTTAGAGAGAAAATTCATGTTAGATAAGCTAATAATGGTGTCATATTGGCTAATTCAGTGTTTGTGAAGACTTAACAGAACATAACTAACTTGCATAACAAGAATCTGCGCTGAGGCATACATGCCCAACCCCTTGCTGATGTCAGACATTGCACTGTTTTTGCCATTGGTGTCTATTATTTTTGTTTTCGTGCTGGGCATTGAACCCAGGGGTGCTCTATCCCTGAACTACATCCTCAGTCCTTTGTATTTTGTATTTTGAAACAGGGTCTTGCTAAGTTGCTGAGGCTGGTCTCAACTTGCCCTCACCCTGCCTCAGCCTCATGAGTCACTGAGATTACAGGTGTGCATCACCATGCCTGGCTTCATGCCTATTAAGTTTTGCTTTTGATGTGCTCTCTGGACTGTCTCATCTCAATATCCTTAGTTCAAAGATAGGTGTACAATAAAAGAGTAACAGAGAAGAATGCAGCAGATATAATGCAAACTGATGTCTCTGGTTCCATATTTTGCCTCAAGAATCTCTCATCTGGGGGCTGGGGCTGTAGCCCCAATGGTGGAGAGCTTGCCTAACATGTGAGAGGCACTGGGTTTGATCCTCAGTTTCACATATAAATAAATAAATAAATAAAGCAAGCTAAAAAAATACTCTCTCATCTGAAAAGTAGGAGGCTAATTAGAACCAAGTTTATTTACATTATTAGTATTTATATAATGTGACTCATTTAATCTTTTGGATCTAAATTCCCTTTTATAAAAGGAAGGAAGATTAATTCTTAAAGTCCACTTAATTCAATAATTCCATGGTTCTACAATGGACTCATATACTTGTAATAAAGATTTGTTAATATTTTAAAAAGAGATGTTCTCTGCCTCTGGAAGATTTCTCCTGTTTTATTGTCTATTAATCTTATAGTTTTATCTCCTACCCATGTTTTTTTAAATTATCTGGAGTCCACTTTGTTGGTGGCAACAGGTAGGGACTTAGTTTCATGATGATCCGGATAGCAAACCATTGCCATTATTGATATGCCATCACTTTATTTATTTATTGTTATTTATCACAATCCATAATTTGGGACATGACGATTTCTGATCAGCTGATCACAGCTGCCCTCTGACAGGATTGAGTTCCTTGAGACCCAGGCTCATATGTCTTGCTTCCCATCAAATCCACAGCTCTTGCTAGAATATAGTAGGAACCCAAAGACTATGGGAGGGGGAAAGGGAGAGCCCCAGAGAAGGATTCAGAGCCAGGACAGTCTCTCATCCCTCCGCACGGCCCCCCAAGTGCCCCCGCCCTGCTCTCCTTCAGGCCTGGGCTGTGTACAAGGGCAAGCACTTGGAGGGTACTGACAAGGAGGACCCCTCCACCTGGAAGACGAGGCTCCGCTGTGCCCTCAACAAGAGCATCGACTTCCGCGAGGTGCGCGAGCGCAGCCAGCTGGACACCTCCCACCCCTACAAGGTCTACCGGCTGGTGTCTGACCACACCTCCCGCCCAGGTACCACCCTGCCCCTAAGGGTAGTGGCCGAGGGTGGCTCTCTGGGCAATGATGGACCTGTTGAGCTTGAACTCTGGGGAATTTAGAAGGCGTTTAGATCTCCCAGTTTCCCTGTTAGAAAAGGGGGAAGGGCTGGGGTTGTGGCTCAGCGGGAGCGCTTGCCTAGCATGGGTGAGGCACGGTTCCATTCTCAGCACCGCATACAAATAAGTAAAAATAAAAGTCCATTAACAGCT